CAAGTCGCGAGTCGGATTTCGGCAATTGGTCTGTCCGCGCGACTGACCAGACTCCTACCTAAGCCCCGAATTGCCTAATATAGCATGTACTGTTCGCATTCACCTCGTCCTCGAGCTCGCCGTTGTCGACGATGAGCTCAACTATTTCATCAATACTTCGTCTTTTCCTGAGGTTTCTTTTGTATCCCACTCATATACATGTATTCTAATGCCATCTATGTAATAAATTCGCTTTCAAATGGATTTATTGAGTTTCTATAGACATGATAACTGCCTAACAGAAAAAGCGAAGTGTATACCCTGATACCCACCTCAGAACCTTGATAACCCTCTCGTTTAGGGTCTATAGGCCGAAGTCTTGAATTTATAAGTGGTCCCACAGGCATCTGACCGCTCAATATCTCAAAAATGCGCCACAAATGCAAAGGGTGATGCTGTACAGACTTACCAGTGCACATAAGGGCTCCTGATGCATGGAAAATCGTCCCTTTGAATTCACTATAGGTGCAATATGCGAAGGGTAAGGTATCTGGTAGGGCCAAATGGTCAAGATATCAAAAATGCGAAGGGGGTAGGGAGGCAGGTGGTTGAGGACTTACCAAGTACCTTCTCCTCACCTAGAACCGTCGCAGGGACATGTGAAGACTTTATGAATGGAGTGTAAGCCGTCCTAGATGTCTGAGGAGGTGTAGGGGGTCAGAAATGCGAGCATATCTGTAGCATTATGTCCCTGGGGACTCGCCTGGCCTATCCCTGAGCTTCGAGCCGGCACAGACTTCATAAGGGAGTCATGTAGACTCCGAACGAGTCGTTTTAGTTGGATATATCTAGCGGGAATGAAGTGTAACGATGGCAGGGCAGATAAAGGTATATTGAGTGAAATATTACAGCTTACCGCTGCTAGAGTCCTGCCCGTGCATATTAGGCGCGGTAGAACGACTATAGCCCATCATAACGAAGGGTTTCTTGAGGTAGTGATACCAAATATCAGCTCTTAAGACCCCTGCCCATGTCCAAGGACATGTACTCACCTAAGCATACCAAATGAGCCTCAGCTTCCAAACACTACACGGACGCATAGCACAGACCGACACCATCGTCTCATGCAGGAATGGGACGTGACGTGGCGTTGCTGCAGACGATGGGTGTGCCATACCCCAAAGCAACGCACGACCGATACATGTGTTGTTGTCAGAGAATGTAAACATCCGAAGGATTAGGCGCACTCACTTTTACAAGAATGCCATGTATACGATCTCTCTAACGAGTTTCCGCGGGTACGGAGCTCGGCGATGTGATGTTAGTGTCGGCGCAGCAGCGTAAGGTATCGTTGCTGGCATTAGGCGGCGATTTACGGCGGCGGCTGAGTTGGAGAAACCTTCGGATACAGCGGGAATGAAAGAAACAGAGGTTAGAATGAAGGTGCAAGTGGAATGAAGGAGATTGGTGGAGGAGGCGGGGAGATCGTCGAAAAAGAGTGGTTTCGACGATGGGATGTATGGCAAGTCGCGGGGAACGCGACTTGAGCCAGATCTCGGCGCGACTTCCCCTTGCATCCTTCTTCATCGTCTCGACACTCGGACTCGCCGGCCTCTCGACACATTCGCTCGATCATCCCCAATCCTTTTGTAACCTACAACTACATAGTAAGGCAACAATCTCTCGCTTTCCGCAATGTTTTTGTCCGCCGCATCAATGTCCAGCGCGCATCTTTGCATTTATGGCGCATTTTTGAGATATTGAGCGGTCAGATGCCTGTGGGACCACTTATAAATTCAAGACTTCGGCCTATAGACCCTAAACGAGAGGGTTATCAAGGTTCTGAGGTGGGTATCAGGGTATACACTTCGCTTTTTCTGTTAGGCAGTTATCATGTCTATAGAAACTCAATAAATCCATTTGAAAGCGAATTTATTACATAGATGGCATTAGAATACATGTATATGAGTGGGATACAAAAGAAACCTCAGGAAAAGACGAAGTATTGATGAAATAGTTGAGCTCATCGTCGACAACGGCGAGCTCGAGGACGAGGTGAATGCGAACAGTACATGCTATATTAGGCAATTCGGGGCTTAGGTAGGAGTCTGGTCAGTCGCGCGGACAGACCAATTGCCGAAATCCGACTCGCGACTTGAAAATCGAACCGTGGCGATCCCGCCTACCGTAATCCTGGGGCTCCAAAATGGAGGCCCACCGTTGCTTGGTTGGCTCAGCTGGTTAGAGCGCCGGTCTCATATTCTCTAGTATGATGTATACAAGTGGTACAGTAATCCGGAGATCACCAGTTCGATCCTGGTACCGAGCATTGTCATGTTTTTGCCCAAGTCCAGTGGTGTTTCTGCCGTCTTTTTGCATACCTTCCTTCGTATAGCAGACGTATTCACTTCTACATATATGATGGAACAAGCATCCTGTGCAAAGCTCCCTGAACGGTACCGACGAGGACAACTGCTTCTCTACAGTGCCACTTCGATCCTGGTGATTACCTGTAGAATACACAAGCGCGCAAGCCTAAAGACGACATGATCAGATGGTCGTCGAGAGGAAACGCGGGCCGGGGCAAACAGTCGACGGGCCTCCACAAAATATGGCACTCACATCGAGCACCTTTCCTCGTGGGATTAGATAGTACCAGCCGGAAGAATGGGCTCAACCCTGAAGGAGTAGACCACCAAGATGGACACCCATTTCCAGGCTATTGACACATATAGCTAAGCTGACGGGTCGAATAACAATCGTCCGGAAGCTGTATGCAGATGACTTGTATGATTGTTTGACTTGAGTGCCAATCAGCATGGCAATGGAAAACTGGGAGACGAGCGTATGGATAGTGGCCAGAACTCACATAGGTGTTTTGGCACGACCGCTCGATGATGAGACCCGGATGTCTTCACCCCATTTAGTATGTGCACTGCAGGCTATAGTGCGAAACTATTTGTCGCCCACACGCATGTGCGTGTCTCAGGCGATTGATATTGACCGATAGGACAACTGCATCCTTATCTCGCTACAATGATGTGCTAGGCCTCGCCCGCAAGGGCTGGCAGTACGCACGTCAGTTCACGAGGCAAACGGGGCTTAGGCAACGCGTTCTGCTGCATTTACACGAATAAACGTGGAGTTAGAGCGCAGGTATAAAATGCTCCGGTACATACGACTTACTCACCAAGTGCACTCGTACTCTCTTCTATGTCAACGATTATCCACGACCATGGACCCTTCTAGTACGGACAATCGTCCAACAGGTAACTTTCCCTTGCGGCAGTGAGAATTAGGCATGATGGGGTCCGTCCATGGTTGCGGTCATAAATGTCATTTCCGGAGCCTTCAGTCGGTGTATTCCTGCGTGCATGCTGTAGTAGAGATCATTTGATTGATGCAGAGTGCCAGGATACTACTAGAGAAACAATTAAACGCGTAGGCAGCATGAAAGACGCGCGCCAGAAGCCTTGAACTTGAACCTGAAGGCAATATGGAGGTGATGGTTTCGGGCAGAAAGACAGAGACAGGGGTAAATTGCCTGTTCTGACATCGAGGCAGTCCTCCGGCCAGACATCGGCACGTCGAGCCTGGCGATATGGGCATCGTTATGGTCCCCTCCTGACTCTGACCACCCCTTCTTTGTAGTCTCACACCTCGCCCGAGCATAAAGACCGCCCGCAAAGAGCCCCAGCTTTCGCTCTTTTCGCCCTCTTACGCCGTTCACATTTGTACTCACACTCTGCTACTTTGTCCCAGTTATCCCACTCGTCGACCGTTCAAGATGGGTATGAGTTATCGTCGCTATCTTTCAGGAGAAAGGATCTACGGCTGCATGAACTGCAAGACGCATCTATCGACCATACATTCGATGATCTCTCGAGTGAGCCCATTATTCATGTGTATGCATGTATATTGAGCATCGATTGATTGACCGTCTTTTGTCAGGCGTTCAATGGCCAGCATGGTCGTGCATATCTTTTCGACATAGTGTAGATTGCCATTTATTTCTTTATGCATAAGTCTTTCTAATTCGTATGAATTCTAGTGTCAATGTCGTCGAGGGCGAGCCCAGCGATCGTCAAATGACCACCGGCAACCATACTGTTCGGGACATCTACTGCTGTAAATGCGGCACCACTCTCGGATGGAAATATGTATGTAGCACAAGTCTCCCTTCGCCACTGTATCTCATGATTATTTCAACAGGATCGCGCATACGAGGCCTCACAGAAGTACAAAGAGGGAAAATACATCCTCGAGCGCAATCTGCTGTGCGACGTCCAATAGCGGGCGCGGGCTCTGTGCCCTCCGTATCTCACAACTCGGTATTCGCAGCACGGCACTCTCGCACTCTCGCCTCACAGGCACCGACACACAGCTGCCGGCCAATTCTCACCCCGCCGGCTCTCTACATACAGCCTGCATCTTGGTCTGGGCACTCACAGCACCCACCAGCATTATCGTTATCGGACTCGGGTCTTCGCAGGACCTTATACTACATGACGCATTGTCATGTGTACATTATTCAAGAGGCAGGGTGTCGCGTCCCCCGGTTGTGATTCGGCACGAGGGTATGGGCGGCGGTCGAAAGCCACGACGGCTCGCACAGTTCAACCTGTCGACACGCAGTACACACTTCACCCCCTCATCTATTCTCGCTAACGCGTCCACCTCCAGCAACTCCATCCGCCATATCGTTCGGCCCGCCGTGCCAATAAACCCCCGCGCCACGTCGGGAGACGTATCGAGCATCCACGATTCGTCGTCCCGACATGTGCTCGTGCGCCTCAATGTCGATGTGTGTCGACCGCCCTTGCGCATTGCACGGCTGTATTTATAACCCTCCTTCATGCCTCATATCCTCGTATCAACTATTCATCCCTTTCGCATCATCAGAACTGTTCACCCCCTCTTGTTATTATTTCCTGTATGTACTCCCACATCCATTACAGCCTCTTATGTCCTCCTGTCACAAACTCGTCGCAGACAAATAGATGAATATTCATAGTATATACATTCATTGAACTCGCAAATATGAGAATTGAGATTAGTACTTTACGCACATTTGCAGATACGATTGTGGGTAGAACCGTTAGCAAGATAGAAGAGAGTGCCAAGGTTCGAAATGAGACCGTCGACCAGAATGTCGATCAAGCGGGCCGACTATATTGAAGATATGCACACTATAGACAAGAGATGTTGCTGGTCAGCACATGATCACTGACTGCTGAACAATAGAGTGGTGGACGTGAGGAAATGAAGCAAGACCTACCGTGTTGCCGGGCCGTACAGGAGATCCAGCGCTCACGGACGCGATACAATCGCATTAGGCCCTGAATATGCGTTCCCAACGTAGCAATTGAAATGGCCCTGCCGGGCGATCCTGTATACGTATATACGTACACATCATATGCTTAGGTGCATGCTATACAGGCTTCATGGATTGCAACATGAATGGTTGCATTTTGACCAATCTCTAAAATTCATGGCCAACATGAATAGACTACCCAGTACAATCGCAGCGTAAAAAAAATGAGAAAAAAAACTAAATCCAGATGTCAAAGACCTCGTCCCCTGCAGCCACCGGAGTGTCCCAGTTATGTTGAGCAATGATCATATTTTTTGACCTATGTAGTCCGTCCAGTGAGAAAGCCAAATAGGTGTGTTGTGATTCAAATTTCCTACTTACAGAGACACAATGACTTCGGGGATGTACGGCGCACTAGTCTGACTGTAGTAGATCCGACTCCTCTGAATTGGAGTGGTACTCAGCCATCCAGTTGCCGACCAATCCTCTTGTATAAGTGACTGGACAATGACAAGGTGGTCTTTCTCTGGTATGGGATATTTCATTATACTGAGCATATGCAAGAAATTCTGTAGTACGCACCTGGGCTGTTTCTCAGTATATCCCAAAACGTAGGCAGCATTTTTGTTCTGTGCCTATAGATTAAATTCTCTGGTCCATATTTTGTATCGACCGACAACAGATACACCTCGGTCTTCTCCATATGAATGAGCTTTCGCTCAAGTAAATTGTAGACAATGAACTGAGAAGACACCAATGGCATTGCGTCTTTCCCTTCCATAATGATTATGGGTGGTAACTGCATTGACCATGCCAAGGACATTTCAAATGCTACACATGGTTCTAGAAGCATCCCATAGTCGAGGAGACGCTTTAGAAAAACACTAATCAATGTGGAATCAGTGAGAATGCATGAATCAACTGTCTTGGATGGCGCACCGTAAACCTGAAATTTTCTGTGTATGACATTCTTTCCCACGTGCAATACGTATTGAGGGAATGACAGCTGGATTTTCTCCTGTTAGTGACCTTGAAGAGACCATAGAAAATTATTTACGTAGAGGTATATCAGCAGGTTCCATAGCCTCCAGCAGTATGAGGACAGTGGGCAATACGGGGATTGGAAGGGAGCAAACAAAGGGTTGAACATGGTCTGAGAGTGAGAGACTTTTAAAGGCGAGACATACCAAAGTAGATCTCAGATATGACTGGCAATCGTGCAATGAATATGCGATGAAGAAGAAGCACGGCATCTTATCGCAGAAGTTGCTAGTACCAGTCTTTTGGATTTGATGAGTTCCCGCCTATGGGTTCTTTACCAACATTGTGCCTGTTTAACATTGTGCCTGTTTCTAGTTTGATGTACTCAGCTTCACAATTAGATCAGTTTCCAAAGCATTGGGCAAAGTCCGAGAGCTCGCAGATCGTTCAGTGTACGGCTAAAATTTGGTTCACAAATCGAAGAAATCCTGTAGAGAAGACAGTACAGTGATCTAAGTAGAGACATCAAAGAACCACTTTTCTAAGGCTATGAGCTCTCCCACCTCATATCTTTCAGCCATATCCCAAAGTACAATGTCAATGACCACTCTACCATTGACGGGACCCCTCACCAATTTCTTCACCCTAAAGAGATATCCATCGCGACACCTGTATGACATGTTGGTGGCAACTGGTACCGATGGACGTGTTTGAGGGTGATACATCTCATCGCAGAGTTTGATATCCCACGTAGGGAAGGCGCGGAATGTCGCAGATTCAGGGTCAAGCAATGAATACGTCAGCCCATCATGACTTTCACGAGGCATGTCGATGGTGGTTTTACTACACAGAAATACTGCTCAGCATGCAGCAGAGAGTAGAATTGAAATATGATGCTTACCTTGAGTCTGGGAGGAGGTAGAGTTTTGCAATAATACAGCATTGCTGTGACATGAGATATGCGCACTGATTGGATATGTCTGAGAGATACGAGAATGGGTGTTTCAATGCGGTACAAGCTCACAACTGCCATC